CTAAAGTGGGTAACAGAAAGCACCACTACTCTGGCCACTATCTCTTCCTACAAAGTCACCCTGACCATCGCACAGTGTATATCATGTTTTAAGTATATACATATTCAGTTTTAAAGCTTATACAAAACATTTAGTGAGGTAATAATGAATATTGTAATAATATGTTATGTAATAAATAAATTGTGTGAAAGTTAGGATTTTTATGTTATTTATTATAGCACCCACTCTCAGATTTTGTTTAAGTTCATAACCCTGACAAAGGATGGGTATCTCAGCTTGTTACAAATAATTAAGTAGCGAGTTAGACAATTTACTTATGTACGTTGTTTGAATAGGATAAACCTAAAAACGACCTTCAATAAAGGTTTGAGTCATTACAATATCTTGCAATGACTTACGGTATTCACTAAACAGTAAACTTGTATGATTTGATGACAATATTATTTGGTGAACATAATAAAAATACCTCAAGTTTACAAAAATTTCAAATCAATATAACCATAGTATGCCTAATAATCTATTGAAAAGTAAAAACATTAATTTTAAACAAAGAACCAAAAATCAACAAGATAACTTTATTAAACCTTAAGCAATCCCCAGTCATATGCAACTTCTTTGTTTCATACTGTATATATATATTCTTGTGTTTGTTTGTTTAAAGTTAAGCACAAAGCTATATTTTATCAGACAAAAATAATTTTAACTTTTTAAATTCTATAGAAGTAATGTTTTCCAGGTATTTCGAGTAAGATGTTTGTTTGTTTGAAGTTAAGGACAAAGCTACACAATGGGCTATCTGTGCTGTGCCAAACACAGGTGTCGAAACCCGGTTTCTAGCGTTGTAAGTCCGCAGACCTACTGCTGTACCACTGGGGGGGAGGGGATATTCTTGTGTCTAAGTAAACTACTTGTACTTGATAAAAACTTCTCCAAACATTGTAAATTTATTACAATGTTAAACTTTTAATAAAGTTTCCTTTTTTACTCATTCAAACCATCTGTAACTGTATAAGCTAATCAACCTTTTCTAAAATTATCTGATGTCTTCTCAATGAAAGAAAATTTCTGTAGCTTTCAAACAGATATAATTCATCACACAAATACTTTCACAAATCACAACAAAAGAAACCGAAGAGAGAGCTTATGGAAACTAAAAACTCTTAAATCTACATATTTATTCTGTTAATACAGGATAGACTAATTCTTGGCCTATCTCAAGGGTTCGCAACCTGCAGCTTTTTAAGGAGATTTGTGAGGTTCTCAGGCTATACCCATACTATGAGGAAAAATCGATAATCTTTCAGGCACAATAGGTGTTAAAAATCTAATCTCAACATTTGCAGTTTGTTATTTAGAACAGAGTCGTGCTGTTAACATTCTAACTAACTCCTAAAATGCTATACAAGACTTAGGTTAGATCGTTAGGGCAAAATGCGGGTTCTCGTAATGTTTTAGTCTTATAAAAAAAAAGGCTCTTCTTCTGGTCTATCCACTCATATCTAAATTTTCTTTATAACTGTTTCCAAAGCTGTGTTTTATTAGTAAGTGATTAAACCACATGAAGTGGCACCATAGCATGGTTCTAATCAAGGCCTGTACAAAAACTAAGGGAAACACTTAAAAATCAAGAAATGGCTAATATATATATTCTCAAGGGGTAGTAGATTCTCAGTAAAAAACAGTTATTCTTTGGGATGAGCAGGAAAATTCTAAAAGACCAGTAGGTTGACGAAACTTTGTAGAATAGTAGGCTGTTTTGTTTAAAGGCAAAACTCTTTGCATTTGTGCAAGAAATAAATTACACTAAACAACTGACATAATACGACAAAATATCGTATTTAAAAATATTTTTGAGTTAAAACTGTTTAAATACTTAGAATTAACATATAAATTGCCTTAAAATTTGTGGCGGAAATGTATGATAAGTTAAAGGAAATCCTGTTTTCAGGTATAATAATGTAGTTGTAAGCTATTTTGTTCATCCTAAACTGTTGTACTTGCAAATATGCATGTACAAAACCTGTAACAACATCAAAATAATGATTAATAGCATTCCGTGAGTTTTTCCCCAATAAATTTCCACAAGACTACTCTACTGAAACTATAAAATTTTTGTTGATGAAAATAAACATATTACTTCATTAAATTTTCAAACACCAATTGCTTATATAATGTTAATAGACTTAATCATCCTAAAATCGCCAACAGTAAAAAACAAAAACAAAAAGATTAGTTTCTGCTATAGGCCTACATCATGTGTAAATTAGTTGAATTCTTCTTTCATTGTTGGAAGTAAAATTATTTTTCAAAACAGGTTAAAAAATCGATGCATGATATCCGACGAACAATACTGATGTTATTAAAATAAAATAGAGAAATGTCAAAGCTCGCTAGACGTAGCCCTATTAATAAATGTATATTACTTTCCGTTTTTTATTTATTTATTTACAGCTACACACAACTAAAAACTAATAATAAAACCATCTGGAAAGCATATAAATTCATTGGGTAGCTCAGTTGAAATAAATCCAACAATTTCAAATCTTATTATTTAATTTCTGTCGTGCATATTGGTGCATAAAAGACATTTTCATACTAGAAATGGCCTTATAATGCCAAAATTTGTTATTTTTCTTTAATTGGACACTTCGCAGCTTCTTCAGGGGCATTCCAATAAAACACAAGCCATAAATGATCATCATTTTAAATTATTTAAAGTTTTAAACCATTTGAAGCTTTGTACTATCAGTTACGGTTTTAATCTAACGCTCCTGAAGAAGCTCTAAAGTGAGACGTTAAGTATCCAATTAAAGAAAATAATAAATTTGGTGTTATAAGGTCGTTTATTTCTATAACTTCAAATCTTATATCTATATTTGTAGCAATGTGATTGATATGAAAATAATACAGGTAAAGACAAACAATCAAAAATATTTTAATACAGCTTTTACAATAAGAACAAGTACGACGTTTCGATCACCGGTGCGATCATTCTCTTTCGCTAGTTACTCTAGTATAACAGTAAAAAAAAGTTTTAGTATTTAAATCAACAATCTAACAATGACTTTAAATTTTAGAATTGATAGCGGTTACTTGCGTATGTATATATTGATCCACGTGAATTGATACATTATTTATTTTTGGATGAACAGCAAAATGAACAAAAAGTGAATATATATAAAAAGATGTGGCATATGTTATGTGAAATATTTGCATAAGATTAAGAATGTCTAGGAAACTAATGATGAAAGAGATGTGCTTCGGTATTTGTTAATTGTGGGATTGTTTTATTTTATTAATAATGCTTCACTGATTTTTATTCTGTTAATGTCAGGTTCACATTTTAGCAGTGTGACATTCTGTTCAGAAAAACTGTGGTTTGTTGTTCTATGTGATGTAAAAAAGGTGTGGCCAAAGTACCTGATAATGGATTTCCCATGACAAATCCGTGCAATTGAAAGAAGTACAAATCTATGTTTTGAAAGCATATAAATGCAACTAGTTCAATTAGGTGTTCCTGTTTTATGTTGATTCTCTTTTTGAGGTATTGTGAAAAAACTTTTGCAGTACGTTGTATTGCTTCATGACAAGTGGTTTGAGGGAATAGGTTTACGACATCAAAGCTAGATATTATGATGTCACTGTCTAAGCTATGCAAGTGTTGCAGATGGTGTGAAGTGTTTTTTTAATTGGGTGATTATTTTGGAAACAAGAAGTTCAAAAATCCAGCGAAAGTATTTACCAAGGCTGTAATTTAAAGAATTATAAGAAGACATAATTGAGTGTAAGGTTATAGGGTTTTTTTATGGACTTTCGGTAAACCGTAGGTTTTTGGTGTCCTTGGTTGGTATGCATGCAAAAAATTATAAAGTTCAAAAGTACCTATAATCTTTCTTTTAATAATATTTTGGGTAGTTTGCTCAATTTTGTTGTTGTATGTTGGGTTAAGGTCAGTATTTAACTTAGTAAACTTAGACGTATCATTCAATGTATTTACCATTAATGAACCAGACTGTTTGGTTGGTAAAATCACGATCGAGTTTCCTGTATCGGCTCTTTGGATGACAATGTCTTCATTGTTCTTAAGAATTTTTAGACCATTTCCTTCTCTTGATGTCAAATTTTATTCATAAGTTTTGTTTTGTTGAGTATCTTTGAAGTACTTTCACTACATTCATCTAGGAAGTTTTTTCATGGATCTGCTTTTGGTTTGGTAGGGAAATTGCTCATTAAGTTATTTTTGTTTTTTGGAATGTTGAATATTTTCGGTGGTTTTTCGTCATCATATTGAATAAGTTTACTATTTACTGAGTATGATAGCGAATGCGAAATTTGTGATGACTCAAATCTTCATTAAATATCGTTTTTGTGTTTATATTATTCAAATAAAAATATTATTACCCTTACCGTGAGAGTAGAAACCTGTTTTCATTAATTAATTACCAATTTATTTGATGTACAGATGATCAATGTGGAATTACTACATATTTGAAAAATAAGCAATGGTGATCGGGTGGTAGTATTTAGTTGACATTGGCGATTTATCCATCAGGTAGGAAATGTTCATTAAACTTGTGGGAAAGTATATTTTTGACAAAAAAAAAAGTTTTCCACAAATGGAAAGCTTCAGAAGAGGTCTACTATATCAAATCAAGGGTAATTCGAAAATTACTTTAAGAAAAAACAAACAAATCAATGTAAAATAAAATAGGAAAATTAATATAAGAATAATTTAGTGGTTGAAAAAGATGCTGAGCACTTACCCGTTCTTTCTTTGCTTGTGCGGGTTATGGGGGACGTGGTGTACTAATCGATTAATGAGCTCGTCGATTAGCAAATACAATCCCAAATAGTAGCCTCAATAACATTTAAATTTTTATCTTCTAAAACTGAAAATTCTCTCCCACATACACACCCATAAACAGAAATCCAATACCCCCCTTTTTTTTATCTAGAAATTAAATATCAACAACTTTGATGCTGAAAATTGTGTAACTAACCTTTCCTGACCATGAAGGATTTACAGTATTGCCAAATCTTGAACAATGAAACTTCTGTTTGTGATGTGGTAGTGACAAGGTCCCTTCATCATTTCCTGGATGAAGAGACACCTGCACTTCTGACTTGTAGATTAGTCTTCTCCTTAGGTTAGTTGCTTTCAAATCTGAAATTTGTTTACAACCAAATACATTAAGAAAATAACGCACTTCAGAGAAAAAAGGTCTTTCATATAATGCACATTGAAAAGGTCCTGTTACAACTATAACGATATAAAAGCTAGAAGGAATACATTTTATATATTAAAGTTTTTGTCTTCAGAAATAATAATACTTCTATACTAGGAATTTTGTGGTTAAATTTGATAGCTCCAGTTAATACTGAAAGTTTTTATATTATTTATTTTGTTTGTGAGGAGGGGGAGAATTATGTTCAACTAGTTATAGTGTTCTATTTAAATTTCATCTTGATGCTAAAACTGAAGACTTCAAGAACGCCTGTTTACTTCTGAATAAAAACAAGCAACGAAAAAAAGTCCCAAAAATGAGTGACAAGCACCATAGAATATATGAGAAAAAAAAGATGACATACAGTACAAAAAAGGCTTTAAGCATGTGCAGGATATATGCGTGAGGAGAAATTATTTCTTTCTAGGTTTGCAATTTGCATTAGAATTCCACTACATAATTTCTTACACACGGGACATTCAACATTTTGATCTGTATATGATAAGGTCTTAGTCAGGTTACTTACTGTGTCTTCTGTATCATACAAATTTATGTTGGAAGCTGAGACCTTCATGGAGTTTGAGTTTGGATAAATACTATAATTCCTGACTTGTGTGAGGAAAGTGGCTGTCCATGGGCTATTTGTTTTCATCATAACAGCTACACTGTTTGAAGAAAGTGAATGACCAAATGTTGTTGATATCTAGGCCTTGATATTCATTCAGAGTTGGCTGGTGTATTTTAATGTAGAAGGATTCTTTGATTTTTCTGATTTTCTAATACTGAGTTTTTTTCAGGGTTAATTGTGTTAGTCCAAAAAGTCAGAATACCCATTGAGGAGGCAAAGAAAAAGGAATATGTGATATACCCGAAAACTGATATCCAGCTCAAAGAAGGTTTGGAATGATTTACCTCCTGGGTTCAAGAAATAAAAATTAATGTAATTCACAAATGCAGAATGAGCTGAAACTCTTTGTCCACAAGGCCAGAAACAGGGTTATGGTGGCAGTGAGGCTTAAAGATCCAATCTGTAGTTTAAGTGTGAGAAACCTATGAAGAAGTGCTTGTCTCAGCTAATGGAGGAGATAGATGCAAGTAACAGACATAAGAAAGTTTCCAAGGTGCAGCAGAAAAAAAAAAAAATTTTGTCTTCCAAAATGTATAGTGCATACTGGAGGAAGTTATACATTTTGATAATAACATTTGAAGAAAAATTACCTTTACACTCCAGATAAGAGAACTTATTATATATATATACTACTACGTACTACGTACTACGTACGTAACGTAACGTAACGTAAGTTAACGTTAACTAAGTTAACTTAAGTTAACGTTAAGTTA